GGGGGGGGGGGGGGGGGGTTTGCTGGATGGGGGTTAACGGGTCGACGTAGTTGTACAACGTTCCATTTCCATACAGCTGTGTCAAGGCTCAAGTTGTCTAGCGTTCTTTTCAGGATCTTCACAGGATTTGAACCAGCTTAAACAGGAAACCCTGTGATAGAAAATCCAGGCATAAAAAACAAATTCAATGTCTTGCATAAGAAAAGATAAAATCGCATCTTAGCAAAGAATAACACTTACAAATATTTGGTGCCTTTGATACACAAAAGGTTTTGCTTGGTCCTTTTAACGTTTTTATTCTTCTGCCTTCCTGTTATGGTTAAAATGCCTTCTTTTGTTCTACAATGATAGATTGATTGGAATGATTCTGAGATTATATCACCGGAAACGGAGGATTTCTGGCACGCGGGAGAAACGTAGGTGGAAAGTTCTCAGTATCTTTACTAACCGTTTGGTTAGCTCAGTTGTTAGAGAGCGGGAGGTCGCGGGTTCAAACCCCGGCCGGACCAACACTCAGGTTCCTTTAAACAACTGAGAAGAAAGTGCTGCCTTGTAATGATACCTCCAAACGGTTAGACTTTCTAGTATTCTGGGATAAGGACGAAAACCGTAGGTCCGCTCTCACAGCACTTTCCCTTATCTGGTTCTTGTGGGACGTAAAAGAACCCACACCACTGTTCGAAAAGAGCAGGGGACATAAACCCTGGTGGTGTGGCCAACCTTTCCTGGGCTGGGTGGGTTATCTGTAAGGAGACATCGTAATATAGTGATAACCTCCTCCCTCAGGTGTCGTAACGGCTATGTATATCTATCGTTGGGTACTTTTAGCGGTGATTGTCGGCTTAACTGTAATGAGTCGTGAAGCGAGACGGTCAATACTGATTTTCTTTGATTTTCAGGAATGTCAGGTCCATTATAGAGGAGGCTCAGGAGCAGTCAAGAAGTAATGCACCGTTGGTTGCGCTCCACGCAAAGTTGGTCACTGTTTTGTGGATAATCATGGGTCTGGAAATGAAAAGTGTTAAACCACTCTCTCTTTTCAATACCACGGTAAACATCGAAACGTTATGTTTCGTTACCCTGTTAAATGCATCACGTATATGTTGTAGTTACTGTTTTAGCTCAGGTAAGGTTTATTTTTCCTATGTTTCAACTTTAAGCATACACTACCATACCCAAAAACAAAAGGAAAACAAAAATTACCTGCGATAAAAAATTAACTACCACATATACTTAACGAAAAGTTTCACTTCAGAGTATAATAAACCCGCTTATTCCACGTCGGAACCTGAAAGATACTGATCATATGCTTTCGATCTGATGGTTATGCCAAAGAAAGACAACAAACTAAAAATTAAAAAAAAGCCATGATTAGAAATCCAATGTCAGGTACCAAAACTCAAGAGAGAGCAAGTTTTGTTCTAGGACATTTTGACGTTTAACTCTGCTGTGATCGCGTAACAAACCTTGATCATTTGAGAAAGGGACCCGAGCTTATGCGCAATGATTTGTTAGCATCTGAGCGGAAATTGTTTGTTCGGTGAGGCTAAATTGGATGATTATAATTATAGGTTCCATAAGAAGGGTTTTACGGTAGAGGGTTAAGCGTTGGTGTATTTAATTTGTCGCTTGTGTTGCTTTTGCAGAGCAAAGAATCCTTTATGCGTGATCTCAGCACTTCCCGACCTCTATCTTCAGCCGAGGACGTCGACAAAGCTATTACTGAATTAAGAGAAAAGGTAAACCATCTTTGAAAACAAGAAATATTTTCCTTACACTTCTGTTTAGAAAATTTAAAGTCAAGCGCGGCCTTTGAAACGATGTACTTTTTTTTGTAGTTCCTTACTCGTGCCCTGTCCTTCTCGGTAAGTTCTCTGTCAACCCAGTCTCCCCACCCAGTGCTCAGACGAGAGGATAGTGATAATGACACTGCAAGAATCAAAGCAGGTGTCTCCAATAATGACTGGCCAGCGGTAGTCTACAAGCTCGCAGAACAGTTTGGGATGGACAGCGACCCCTTGAAACGTCATTTTGTCCGTGAGTTGTACTCAGCTGGTTTCGATGAGCTCGCAAGAGAGGTAATTAAAATGCCTGTGCTTCCTTGTATAAAGTAACCTCAACATTGACTGGCTACAAATTGCTTCTTTATTTTCTTCTCACCTGCAGAGCATGTTTTCTGTCCACGATCAGCGGTCTTTGAGCTCGCAGCTCTTGAGAATTGTGGGACAGCGGTTAGCACATGTAATCCTGAACGTCTCTGAGTCCAGTGAGCGCGCAGGTCGCCTGTCTCGCCTGCCGACACAGATCAGCAGCTGGATCAAATCACAAGTAATGTGGAATGATATGTTTTGTTATTATTTGTGGTTAGTTCTCCAACGCTACATACATGTCAAATATCTTTCGAGTGTGTTCATCAGAGGAAAGAGCAAACAGCTCATAATTAAAACGTCCGTCTTTGAGTTCGAAAATTGGGAGCTTAAGCAACCACCTCGACGGCGACAACGGCAACGTTAAAAAGCAATTGGTTTTATGAGCAAAACAACAGGTCTACACGTGCATCACTTTTTTTTTAGTAAATTTCAGTTTGACGTCCACTGCAGGACTACGACGTGAAACCTCCTAATGCGATGATTTATGGAGTACGTAAACATACGACTATATTTCATATACTTATCTCCTCTCTTTTTGAACCTTGGTAAAGTCCTCAAGAATTCAACTCCAGGATTTGACAAGATGAGTGGGTTCAAATAGACGCGATAAAGTTTGAAAGGTCACAAATTATTATTTTTTAGCGACGTTTTCACTACTGTCGTCATCGTTGTTGCTTAATGTCCCTAATATACTACTGCTGTAGGATCAACATGGGTGGAGAACGACTTGATCGTAGTTCTACCCCACTGTATGTTCTTACTCTTGCATAAAAAATCACTGTGTCTGCACTGGATGCACGTTTGAACTCATTATACGTCATCCTGCATAACAGACTTTCGAAAGGTAAGGGGGAATTTAGGGACGCGATTGAAGAAGAAAGCGGAACTCTACCACCCAGGAGCCCATAAGCCGGAGTGAGCAACTTCCATGCGCTCGTGTCACAGCATTTTCACGGACCAGTTTATTTTTAGAACGGCTTTGGTGCGAATTTTGAATATCTTTTGAATGCCACTAACCAGTCAGCAAAACCTGCAGACATAAAAATGATATTTGTTACCTTTTAATAACGTTTAGTTTTCCTTTTTGATATCTTATTCTTCGAATGCGCTTGTAGACATGGTGGAGATTCTATTTTCGCGGGATGAAGTGCCTTAAAATGTGTCTAAAAATAAACTGGTCCGTAAAACGACGTGACAAAGGCCTGGTATGGGAGTTGCTCTCTTCAGGTTATGGGCTCCTGACCACCTTTTTTATTTTGCTATTTCCAGGACCCGTCCAAGCTTGTCTGTCGCACGGTGCCTCTTTCTCATACAGTGGATCTTTTGCGTGTTGTCATCAATGTGACAACAAAAGAATCACCAGACTATCCTCTCACCTCAGGACTGGCAGAATCTATCAAATTTCTTCTCTAGCGACGAAAAAGATGTGAAGTGACCCAAAAAACCAGCCAGTTTCCTCGCTAGCAGATGGTGAACCTGCCAGAAGCCATACTCGTCTCTCCCAAGGACACTGAGCAAATGGGTTTACAGCAGGATGTAGTCGCATTACTCATCAAGGGCTGAAGTTTTGTATCCTGAATCACGACGACCTTGATGGTTATGACCTTGCCTAGTCCCCAGGCCTCATTATTCCACGCGGCATATGCGTTTCTGGTCACGTGGTCCGAGGATATGTCACCGAAATGCATTGACCGACAAGGCCTGGAAAGACGCCGCACAGGGACTTGGCAAGTTATGACCTACTTCGTGTACCATATGAAGATAATAAGCAGAGCTTTACTGACACTGACATCTTTTTAAGATGGGACCAAACAACCCCATCTCCCTATTTTCGAGACTGTGAACTGAACTACCTATTCTGTGCTGTAATCATAAACAGGACTTTCATGTAGTATTGATTGTTAGTGTTCTGCAGAAGGTTATTTGTAAGGTTTCATTCGAGGCATGATACATGGGCAGAACATGTCAAATGACTTCGTGGATCGTTGCGTCAGATTATGTGTAGGAACGGAGAATACAAAAAATGAGAAATTTTAATTGAAGAATTGAATAGAATATTTATTAGTTAAAGCTACAGATAGAAGAGGAGTTACCATGACGAAAAAAATAAATAGGGGGCAGTCATTAAAAGACAAGAAATTGCAGAAGTACAAGGAGGCTGATTTCTCTACTTACTCGTGAAATTTGCTCTAAATTACAAAACATTCCTATTTAGACCTAGACTACGAGTAGTCCCCCATTTTTCCTGAGGGATAGTAGAGCGTGCGAAACGCGAGCGCGCGTGAAAATCACCCCACGCGAGAAAAGGCGACACGCGTGTCTCCTTTTCTCGCGTGGGGTGATTTTCACGCGCGATCGCGTTTCGCTCGCTCTACTATCCCTTAGGAAAAATGGGGGACTACTCGTAGTCTAATTTAGACCTCGCTGTGAGGAGGACACCTCTCAGGAGTTTATTTTTAAATTAGAAAAAAGTAATAATTAAAACTGCACTCTTGAGAAACAATTTCCTCTTTTATTTTCTAATTCAGTTCATAACAGATGAGCATTACTCCGCATTGCAGGCGCCATAGAATAAAGAGGAAGACAAAATTAATCGCGTGTACGCGAATTTCTCCTTTCCCCTGTAGCATCTGCCACACGATCTAAACAAGTATTTTCTTACATTCGTTTTGATATATTCTTTTATTTTGAGACCTTTTATACAATGATCAAGACATTCGGATCTTACAGTGGAGTGGAGAGAACCATGTTATTGGAAAAGATCATTGGTATGAGTACAAAGAGTTAAAATTAAAAATCACTTCTCTGAGGGAACACAAGTGCAATCTTTGAACCTCACGTTTAACGTGGTTTGTACTGCAGGTAATTGCTCTAGAAACTAGCCCACAGAACGTGTCAGACCTTCACTATCTACAAATTTATCTTTTATTCTTGTTACTTATTCAGTCAAGTCTTCAATCTCCTGAGAGGAGACTTGATTAAGAGAACCTCACTACAGAGATTCCTTATCGTCGGCATTTCATAAATAAATTCTATCCTCTTCATTTCTGGTGATGAACATTTTAGCTCTGAACGGAACATCGAACCCTGAGGTTTGCTCGGCGTTGAATTCCGTTGGTCGCTCACTTGTTAAGACGAATCTTCAGCAATATGTGCCAACTGTAAACAGAGAGAATAGCGCCGTTAATAATTCTGACTTTTACCATCAGCCCTTAACACTTGGAGGTCCCAAGAGCGACCAACATCAATTTTCTCCTCACAATATAATGTCTCATCGCGGGAAAAAATGATCTGAGAATCAATGAAATGATCACAAAAGGGACCTTTTCGCGGTTCTGAAAGCCATCTTGACAAGAGGGCAACCGCGCGAGAAATTACAGTGTTTGTATGAGAATCAAATGTCGAATAAGTAATGGTAACAGGACTGAGTGGAGTCCAATTCGGTCTGTAATCATACGAGTGATTAACAAAATCGGACGACCGCGTAGCGGGGGTCCGATTTGTTTAATCACGAGTATGATTACAGACCGAATTGGACGACACGAAGTTCTGTTACCAATTAATCATAACTTTAACAAAATTTGTGATATATTNATTCTATCCTCTTCATTTCTGGTGATGAACATCTTAGCTCTGAACGGAACATCGAACCCTGAGGTTTGCTCGGCGTTGAATTCCGTTGGTCGCTCACTTGTTAAGACGAATCTTCAGCAATATGTGCCAACTGTAAACAGAGAGAATAGCGCCGTTAATAATTCTGACTTTTACCATCAGCCCTTAACACTTGGAGGTCCCAAGAGCGACCAACATCAATTTTCTCCTCACAATATAATGTCTCATCGCGGGAAAAAATGATCTGAGAATCAATGAAATGATCACAAAAGGGACCTTTTCGCGGTTCTGAAAGCCATCTTGACAAGAGGGCAACCGCGCGAGAAATTACAGTGTTTGTATGAGAATCAAATGTCGAATAAGTAATGGTAACAGGACTGAGTGGAGTCCAATTCGGTCTGTAATCATACGAGTGATTAACAAAATCGGACGACCGCGTAGCGGGAGTCCGATTTGTTTAATCACGAGTATGATTACAGACCGAATTGGACTCCACTCAGTCCTGTTACCAATTAATCATAACTTTAACAAAATTTGTGATATATTAGGCTCTTTTTAATCAAAACGCAAGAGATTTTTTTGCTAACAGTGAAAAAAAAAGCCATTTCAGCGCGCGCGTGATGGCGCGTACTGTCCAATTACTTTGGCATGACGCGTACTGTCCTATTTAACTGTCCTATTAAGGCTGAAATCAGGGCAGTTGATAGCCAATCAGATTTAAGAATTGTGTTATAGTTATGATTATTTCCGTAAAACGGCTGTTCTGAGAAAAATATGAAATGTAAACTAAAGCTACACAGCATAGGATTTTCCTAACAACTTTTGGGAGCGGTAACTGTGCTTCAATTCCTCCACACGCTTGCTTTTGATTTCCATATATTTGTCTGCAATTTTTCCCGGGAAATTTTAGTCCGCAGGAAGAGAAATTTTTACAGACATGTGTATACAAAATTTTAAAAAGTGGTACTAGCGCATGTAGCTGCATGTAACGCCCTCCAATTTTTTTAGTAGAAACGTTAGGGGTGAGGCTTCAGTTTACAATTACGTAAATAGACCTTAAATAAACACGTAAATAAAGTTTTTAACAATTATTTGACGAGGTTGAGCAAAATATCGTGATTTGTCTGTGGCGAGCAGATCAATTATTTCCCGAAGCCGGAGGCCGAGACAAATAATTGATCTGCGAGACACTGACAAATCACGATATTTTGCTATAACAGAGTTCAATAATTGTTTTATCATTCGATCACCGAGTTTGTTTTAATGAATATCCTCGGGAAGCGAAGCGATCTGCCGTTTTCACGCAAGAGCGATCGCAAGAAAGAGAAAAGCACGGTTTCCTTTACGCATGTGCAGAATATTATTTGCAGCCAAACACTAAGCCACACACTTAAGCCAAACACAGTTGGACGGCATTGCGCATGAGCAGACCANGTTCTGAGAAAAATATGAAATGTAAACTAAAGCTACACAGCAGAGGATTTTCCTAACAACTTTTGGGAGCGGTAACTGTGCTTCAATTCCTCCACACGCTTGCTTTTGATTTCCATATATTTGTCTGCAATTTTTCCCGGCAAATTTTAGTCCGCAGGAAGAGAAATTTTTACAGACATGTGTATACAAAATTTTAAAAAGTGGTACTAGCGCATGTAGCTGCATGTAACGCCCTCCAATTTTTTTAGTAGAAACGTTAGGGGTGAGGCTTCAGTTTACAATTACGTAAATAGATCTTAAATAAACACGTAAATAAAGTTTTTAACAATTATTTGACGAGGTTGAGCAAAATATCGTGATTTGTCTGTGGCGAGCAGATCAATTATTTCCCGAAGCCGGAGGCCGAGACAAATAATTGATCTGCGAGACACTGACAAATCACGATATTTTGCTATAACAGAGTTCAATAATTGTTTTATCATTCGATCACCGAGTTTGTTTTAATGAATATCCTCGGGAAGCGAAGCGATCTGCCGTTTTCACGCAAGAGCGATCGCAAGAAAGAGAAAAGCACGGTTTCCTTTACGCATGTGCAGAATATTATTTGCAGCCAAACACTAAGCCACACACTTAAGCCAAACACAGTTGGACGGCATTGCGCATGAGCAGACCACTATTTGTAGGCAGTTAGTTGCAGGTCACGTGGTGGGCGCTTGGCCAATGAAAAGAAAGAACAATTTGCTTCGAATGTAATTATTATTATTATTATTATTTTTCAGAGCAGCCCTTTTAGGGAAATTATTCGACATTAGATTCTCGTACAAACACTGTAATTTCTCACGCGGTTTCCTATTCGTCAAGAAGGCCTTCAAAACCGTGATAAGGTCTATTCTCTCAACTTATTTATCACGAAAATGTGGGAAGATGAGTAAGGAGAACTTGTGCCTGGATATTGGGGGCTTAAAGTGAAAGTAATCACTCGATTTAGCCAATAAAAGGCTGCGGACAGCTTCACTTTCCATCTTCCCATCCTTCTCCTCTTTTAAGGAAATCCGGGAAGAAAGTTTCCCATTCTTTTACTAGTAGGGAGCTTAAGCAACGACGATGGCGACGGCAACTGGAACGGCAAATAAGCAATAGGTTTATAGTAGCAAAAAACAACTTGCACGCACATCACGCTTTTTTGTACATTTCTTTGCCCAATTTCACGTTTTGTCAAGGACGGGAACACAAGACAACAACTTTTTTTTTCTTTTCCTGAAATTTGATACCGTTCTTTAGAATTCAACTCCCAAAAAATTGGCCAACATTTGACGAATTGAACGAGATGGAATAAGCGCGATAAAGTTTGCGGGATGCACTTTTTAAGTGACGTTTTCGTAGCCGTCGCCGTCGCCGTCGCCGTCGTTGTTCGTTAAGTTCCCTACTGACTGAAAGAGGACAGACCGTTAAACAGGGCCCAAGTGCAACTCCAGGTATGGTATGTGAACTTACAGCTTTCGTTTTAATCTTAATCCATTTGTAAAAATAGTCTGAGAGTGAACTAAGCAATGTTCAAAGTTAACACGTGTATAAAATCCCTGACATTTTAGCTAAACATGCAACTTGAAGTTGCTCAAATCGTGAAAAGACTTTTATCTTATTTTTGTTAAATTGCATCTACTTTGTTGATAAAAAATAGAAATAAATTCGCCCAGCGTTCAAAGGGTTAACGTATCTTTGTTTTTTCCCATTGATCAGCCAATCCCTGAAAATTCAGCTGTCGCAATAATTTGCATTTGCGAAATTTATTCTATTTGCAACCAGATCCTTGCAAAATCTCAGAATACGCAGTTTCCGAAATTGCAATATTCAAGACCCGCATAATAGCCTTAAAGTGCACTTGAAAACTTCTTGACAGACGCGGTACCTTATTTCTGATACAGCACGCTGACTAGTGAAGGAGATTTGCTGTGGAAAGTTTATCAACAATTTTCGAAAGTTGCCTCTTATATAATCTATTGATAAACAAACCTGTTTAAGGAACTGGGATGCATTCATGACCTCACTTGCACCATAAAGAAGTTTCTTTCCACCGGAGTGTCTCTGAAATGAAAATATAAAGAAATGATAAAGAAGAGACGTTACTTCCAAGAAATGGTGAAATTTTGGAGATCTTTTTTTACAACAAGAATTTTCAAGGGTTTTTCAACTTTTAAACTTGAATACAGCAAGGCTACTTGTGATTTAAGATACCCCGAACTATGTTGTCATTTGGTAAGTTACATAATGTACAGTTTTTCTTTTCCAAAATGTTGACCAATAAGAGCTGAAATGCGTATTGAGCACGCGGGCATTCTTTTAGCTCCTCGGGCATCAGCTATACTATTTATTATTTACTGTCCGACTAGCATTTGAACGTAACATACCTTACTATAGTCCATCAGGTTCTGGTATTCGATGTAATTTCCACCTCCAACTATAAACACAATCGCCTACCAAGAATATGGCAAAATATTTTATTAGCAATTATTGGATGAAGTTGAGTATGATATGGAGAATTATGCAGATCGAGAAGGGTGTCATTATTAATTCAAATATTTCCAAGCTCAGAGCAAGCTAAATTGCTTGCCTCTTTATTATTAAGTTACAAAGTTCGGCTGATTCAGGATATGAAGGGTAGTTTATTTTTGGCAGATAATTTTCAAATAGCAGTTGCCATCGGTCGCGTGGTATTTTTTGTCTATTCTTGCTACGTTCTTGAGGCGAAGTTCGGCTTCACACAAAGAGTGAAATTTTCCGCCATTTTCTTCAGCTATGCAACTCCAAAACAAGTGAGTCACCACACCATTTGCTCGTGCGTCCCTTTTACAGCCGATATCAACACGGCTGACGTCAATCGGATCAATTTCCTTAAACATCTTCCAAATTTGGTCAACGCTAGCTGATTATGAAGGATTGGCCGAGGAATATTTTGAATAAATAATAAAAACCACAGAACTATAAAAATTCACTGTTTTAACGGAAAGTCAGTGGGGCATTCGCCGTTCTAGCGACACGTTCTCTGGCAGAAGACGAAAAAGTCAGACTTATTTCCTTTTTCAACAACTCTGAAGATTTTTGCGCCGTTTTTTTTTTACATTTATGGAGATGGACAATTCAACTTCTGTAAAGTAACGATTACCAACCGATGTTTGGGAAATGAAACCCCGCTCCTCCTTTGAAAAGGGCCGAGAGAGCCTACAGCTAGACATGATCATTCTAATAGACTCCATTAAAACAACAGGGGTCAACACTTTTGAGTATCAAATTATCTTACCTCGCTAAAAGGTGTCTTGTTTCGTGGTATAGACATACTGTAAAACACATAGAAATAAACCAGTTGAAATACGGTGACCGTGATTTTCAGTGTCAGTTGACTTCAGGGCTTTTGAAGAATGACCAATCACAACACAGACCGATAATCAAACGAACCAATCAGAGGCTAAAGCAAATATGTGCTTTCTGCATTATGGGCGGGAAAACGTGTGTAGTGTGTAAGCACGTCAAAATTTGCATTTCAAAATCGATTGGGCCAGCCGTATAGTTGGGAGGAAATTTACCGTTTTTTCTTTGTTTTACTTTGTATTTGAGGGCAATTCCCAAGTACAAGCCCCCCCCCCCCCCCCGGGGGAGGGGGCTTAATAAGGGGTAAAGACAATGATTATCTTTTGAATATTGGGGGGGAAAACTGGTGTATGGTGGAAGACCGCTAAAATTTTCTTTTAAAAATCGTTTGGGCCACGCCTGTATTTTGGGAGAAATTTCCCCTTTTTTCTTTTTTTTTTTTTTTTTTTTGGGGCAATTCCCAAATCAAAGCCCCCCCCCCCCCCCCGGGGGAAGGGGCTTATATTTGGAGGGGCGATTTAACGGAGGTTTTTTTGCGTTACGAGTTTGAGGGGCTTATACATGGAGGGGCTTATTTTCGGAATTTTACGGTATATGAAAGGGCAGGGATTTAACCAGTTGATCTATTTGAAAGTGTAGGGAAATTTTTCATTTCAATCTGTAAAATGCCCAAAAGGGCTTACAGATGCGTTTATGGCTGTGAAAAAGTCGAGAAAACGTTCTAATTTTCATTTTTCAAAGTCAGGGATACGAAAGGGGTTCCCTGCTAGCAGAGGTGTCTCTCACGACGAGGCAAAAATGAGAGGAAGGAGCTGACTCGTCCCCAGTCGTCTCTCATTTTTAGTATTCGGCGTGGAAGACTAGAACGGGCTCTTTAACAAAGGGGATTCCCATCTTCCCCGCGCGCATAACCCAAGCGCTTCCCTAGTAAATAATTAATCAGTAGAGACAACTAAGAGACGACTGGGGACAAGTCAGAGGAAGGAGAGAGTCAACAAAAGGGGTATCTTTTCTGTCAAAAATGGTATATAAAAGGGCAAGGGCTCGGACCTCGGTTAAAGCCTCCCCGTCTCCCAAAGATTCAATGCCTCTTTTTATCTTTCTCGTTTACTCACCAGAAGATTTAGCACAATGTTTTATCCTACCATCATTGGTAATCTGAATAATTCTATTGTAATTTAATGGTATAAAAAGCAAAACATGTAATATAAGAAAAATCCACACCTATCTGTTACCCGTAGCATCTTTGGATCAAAATATCTGTAATCTTCAACTTCCTGAAAAAGTTAGTACCGCGCCGCTTTAATAGATGACATTCGAACAAAAAAAAGGAATCATGGAATAAATCTGCTGAATAGCTTAAACTGAATGGTCAAACTTAAGAATTCCATCCACAGACTACTCAGTACATGTAGCTTTTACTTGAATGGTTACACTTCAAAGATTTCCTCCAGACTCTGAAGTTGAAACCACCTTGTACAGCATAATGAACAGCACCAGAGAAAAGTAGTGCTTAGAAGCTTTCATTTAAATGGTCACGCTTCATGATTTCATCCACAGACTCAAACGTTAGAACCACCTAGTACAGCATAATAAACAGTACCACGGAAAAGAACTGCTCAGTACCTTTCATTTGAATGGTTACAGTTCAAGATTTCATCCTGACTCTGAAGTTAGAACCACCTGGTACAGCATAATTAAAAGCACCACTGGAAACTACTGTTTAATAGAGATTTTAAGCTTCACATATACGGCAAACGGCAAACGTCAAACCTCAGATTCAAGTTAAGAATTTCTCAAAATAGAAAATGAGCAGATAAAAACAGCTCAAGACAATTCTTATGGATAAAAAATTGCGTGAAACTCCTAATTTATGTGTAGAAATAATGAACAGTAAACGACAAGTAAAGATGAAACTTGGTCACGTGGTACAAATTCGCGTTCGCCGTTTGACGTTAACGTGATGCTTATCCTCTCTGACAGCTTTCATCTTAATGGTCACAAGATGAGATTTCTTTCACAGATTTAAAGATAGTCATCGAAATGACCTGACTTTACAGTTAAAATCGCCAAGAATTTCAATTAGGATACTAAAACAAATGAATTCTTGCCTACCGGATTTGCCTTATTGTCCATCAGCGCGTCTACGATGCGAGTCACAGGTAAATTCTACGAAAAAAGATTCAGCGAGAAATAAAAATCTGAACATCTTCCACGCAGCGTTTTCACTACTCGCATTAACAACCTTTAGTCGTTCAGGGTTCTTTTTTTTTTAGCGTTTCAAATCGCGTAACTTTCCATAACTTTTTTTCATCACATTTTCCCGTTTTCCATGGCCTTACGTTACAAAAAGTTTCAAAACTATTCTTGTTTTGAGGGATTTTTTACCTAACTCAGTTCAACAGACACAAACTCTGGTGTTCACCAAAATGCCGATCATGCTGTTTAATTACTTGTCTCTATGCTTCTCTGTTCTTGCTTTGATATCTGCACTAACTAATGACTTTAACTTGCCACGAGTTTCTGTCACTGGTAATAAAATTCCAGAAATTTCATGCCTTCCCAGGTTTTCCATGACCCGTACAAACCGTGTACCTTGTTTCCAACAACTAGATTCTTGACTCCTTCCATAACAAACTGTGATCCTGTATTCATGAACCGTGAAAACATAGCGCTGAAAAAAAGTAAAATACACGAATTTTCAAGACGGAGGTAAACGGTAATACCCGGTCCACGTATACTTTATTCCAGATAATTCTTGCGTTGCGCGAAAAAAGTATCGTACCGGATAGGTTTGCTGTTCACAATTTGACTGGCGTGGTTTTGGCGTTTTTGCGTGATTTTGGCATGGTTTCTGTAAAGGAGCGATGCTGCACCGCCCCTTGCCAAGTCCCTGTACGAAACCTGTAAGGCGTTTTCCCAGTCCCTCTCAGTCAATTCACTTCGGTGACGTATTCGAGGCACATTTTCGCTTGGACCACGTGATCCGAAACGCTTTGGCCGCGCGAAAAATTGAGGCCTAGGGACTAAGCAACACCGCGCCGACCTTGAAAGTGGATCGTCACATATTGGATAGGATCCTATGCTACTCTTCAGATTGGCGCAGTGTGAACAGGTGTTCAAATACTCTACGGGAAAGCTTTTGATGCACAAAGAGGAACCATCCTGTACAATGTGAGCTAGCCTAAAACCACTAAGTTCTGTAACTTCGATCCAGGGGTCGTCCTGTCATTCATTTGATTCTTCTTAAGGACCACGACGTCGATGGCAACCAAAACGTCAAAAAAGCAATAGGTTTGATGACAAAAACAACATCTCTGCACGTACATCACGCCTCCTTTTAATGATGATGTTTTCATTGCCGTCGCTGAAGGTCCATTTTATCACAAGATGACCATTACAGTCACAAAACATAAAAACGAAGGAACGGGTATACGAGTTTTCTAAACAATAGCCCACCTACACAAACAAATGAAAACAACACAGGAACGCTGGATGCCACGTTTTCGGAATCTCCTACCATTGCCTCGCACTTGGCTAAAAAATGGCCAGGGGTAAGTAAGATGTTTTATCGGTAGATGAAAAAGATAGACTCACCTATATGTATTTTGACCCCCGCCTCCCGACTGAAGAGGACCAACGGCAATTTTGGTAAACGCTCTAGAAAACACGATATATTCACATCATTAATGCTATAAGGTTGGCTACCTGCTTTAATTTAAGATTTTTTTTCCGCTTACTTCCATTTCTTGATGAAGTCTAACGGTGTGAGGTCAGCTCCGGCTTCTAACAAGGCTGAACAGTACTGATCCAGCTCCGCCTGTATACAAACAAACAAATAAACAAACAAAGACGGGTTAAAGAATCAGGGTGAGTTTGCTTAGAAAACTTTTGTAACGCTTGTAACGTCATCCGTTTTAACGCTAACAGACAACTTCGACATCTTAAGCCCCGTGCAAATGGACACAACATTGCTGGCCAAAAACTCCCAACATTGTTGGATTTTGCATGATGCGTCCGTTTGCACAGCCTGTTGCATGTTGTTGCATTTTGCTGGGAGTTGTTGTGCAAAGTTGGAAATCGGTCAAATACTCCCAACATTTCCTTTGTTCCGGGATCGTCGAAGCCTATTTTCCTTTCATAAACGGTCGTTGCTATTTTTAACGGTCGATGCCACCATTGGTAACCAAGCCTTTACTCATGATGGATGTAATATATTCCCTGGATTAAGTTACAATAAGGTAAATAGTACGTTTTTGAATAGTTTTAGAAAGAACAAAGTTGAAGCCCAAGTTAAATTTACGATAAAAATTATGGAAAGGGCTAGGGTCGCCTGTTATTGTATAACAGTTAAGAAAAACATTTCGCTAGTGTATGTACTTAATTTTTTCGGAATTTTGGCAGGTCGGTGTGGTAATGTAATAATTAATTAATTTCGAAAACTTATAAGGCGCAAATATCTATATAATACAGGGCTCGAAATAACGGCCGGTCAACGGACAATGTCCGGACTTATTGGGGAGTTGACCAGTCAACTTTTCGTCTTGCCGGTCATGTTGACTGGTCACAATCGATCGTATTGAAAATGAAATCAGTTGTTTCAATTGTTATCAGTATGTAGCGAGTCGCTGTGCATTGCGAAACGTTGATCTGAAATCCTGGGTGAAATACAACTAGAAACGTTGTTTACAATTCGCGCATTGAAACAGACATTGGGGTTCACGCGCTTTCAGTCACAAAATTAAGAATATTTTCACTTTTATGAGTTAAGCAACATATGGCGTCTGATCGGTCGCGGAGAAAAAAGTCAAGTTTCGCGGGATTTTTAGAGAGATTCGCGAAAAAATAGGCTGATATTGCGGGAATTTCGCGGAAATTTTCGGGAGTAACTTCGCCGAAAAAAAACAGGGAAAAACGGCCGATTTCGTGGAATTTTCTGGACAAATTTCGCTAGAAATCGATCGATTTTGCGCTGATTTGACGAGCGTGTTTAAAGTTTTTTAACAGAGGTAATCACTTGCTATTTTAACTACAAAGCGCTCGAGAAATGAGCAAATGGCAAAGCATTTTAAAACATCATGACTAGTGCCCAGTTGTTCCCAACATAACTTATGCCTGGTAGTTTTGGAACGTTGTTCGCTCGTGGTGGGAATGAACGTGACGGAAATTAACAGCCCCAATAGCCGAGATAAGTTTCAGTTACGTTGTATCGACATCTATTAGATAGGATTTCTAACAAATTTCGCGGCCCCGCGAACCCGCGAAATATCTGAACCCATAGCTGTTTTTTGGAATATATAAAGCCATTTTTGGTTCATGGGCCCTTGTTTTAAGAGTTAAAATTTGACCGGCCAGAAACGATAAGTGACCGAGCTAAAATGAATTTGGCCGGTCATCGTGTCTGAAGGCTCTCCGGAAATTATTTCGAGCCTTGTAAATATAATCAAATGCGCCATAGGGAAAAAACAAAGCAAAAACAGAACAACAACAAAAAAACAATAATACTACTAATAATAAAAATTATGAATAATTATGATAATAAAAATGATAAAATAAGATGATAATATAGATATAGAATAGAAAAACTAATGGCTAAAGATTAAAAAGATAAAATGTGTTAGCAAAATCTTAAAAATTATAAGCTGAAAATTATTTACAATCTAGTAAGCGAAAAATACAATCTTATAATCTAAGTGGTACAATGTAGTGGTAAGGCAGAGAGATCAGGATACGAAAGGCCCGGGTTCGACCCTGGGTTGCGATTTTCTTTCTTTTTAATAGAAACGCTTTCAATAACAGGTGAAAAATTTTCTAACGGTGCGTTCGATTGAGAAATCCGGATTTAGATGTTCAGAATCTAAATCCGGATTTCCCAATCGAACGCGAAATCCGAAAACGGATTTCACCTCCCAGAAATCCGTCCTGAGGGTGGATTTCAATTAAGAAATCCAAATCCACATTTTTTGCATTTCCCTTTTTGTCGTTCGATTGGGAAATCCGAAAAAGGATTTGCTAAACTGTTCTCGTGAACAGCGGACTATCTTGTGCTAATTAGGCGTACCGCGGACTATCTTGTGCTAATTAGGCGTACCGCCTAATTAGCACAAGATAGTCTACTGTTCACGAGAACGAGTTCCCAATCGAACGACAAAAAGGGAAATGCAGAAAATGAGGATTTGGATTTCTTAATTGAAATCCACCCTCAGGACGGATTTCGCGTTCGATTGGGAAATCCGGATTTAGATTTTGAACATCTAAATCCAGTTTTCCCAATCGAACGCACCCTAAGTGTCTTAATCATGGCAGCGACCGTTTATGAAAGGGACAACTGCATCGCCGAAGCGTGGCGCAACAATGTTGGATTCGCTTGAACAGCTCTTTCGACATTGCTAGGGCCCGGCACGTGTATTATACATGGTCTCCATAGTCTTATGGGTTACATCCTTCCCACGATGCACTACAGGTCCCAACATTGTTGGGTGTTGTTGCATCCCTTTAGACACCACAGCCAACACGGACGCAACAACTCCCAACACTGTTGGCCCAACAGTGTTGGGGGTTGTTACGCTATTTTGTTGTTATGCACGAACTTGAGCATCACAACGGAAAGCTGCGAAGTGCTCGACTTATAAACAGCGTTTTGGTTAGTTTTGGCCTGATAATGACCAGATAACGGTTTGGCTAGATTCCGAAGACTCGTTTTGGCAAAATTTCCAGGAACGAATGGGTTAAACGGAGGTAGGAAACTTACTGTCACCATATCGCACAGACTTACCGGTGACATGTTTGGTCCAGAAATAAAGTAAATAATAAATAATCGAAGTTTATCTTGAGGAGTACCAGCTGTGGATGAACAAATAGGTATAATCAGAAATATTCAGGGAAATACGACGATTGTAGAACACTACAAGACTACTAAAGCTACAGTATTTTGAGAAGCGAGGCAAAGTAAGTGAATGGGAATTATTTTTACTCATTATTTAACAAAGCTAAGTATGATATAAAGAATTATGCTGATCGAGGACACTGTTATCCACCGAGGTTTTCCTCGGCCTGATTACATTTTCTCTAGTTCCGCATTGCCAAAGCAGCTGAGCTACTGCGCAGCTTATTTGAGGGACGTCTGTGCGCTCCTTTGTACTTCGATAACAGTACCATTCACGTCAATCGTAAATTAAAAGCAACCAACGTCTAAATTTGACCTAGTGCGCCGCTTCTTTGCGTGACGACTGTGCGTCCCTTTGTCATTTCATGACATTACGATTGACGTCACGCGTGAACTAACAGCACACATCTAAATTTAATCAGAAACAGAAAAATATTTTCGAATAAATAATACTTTCCGTTTATCTGTTGTGAATATTTTAGAGTCTGGAAATTTTTACTTTTACAACACTGATTTATGGTGGCCCAGAAGGGTCACACATGCAAATTAAAAATGTTGCTGCAAACTAAAAATTTTACCTGCAAATTAAAAATGTTGCTGCAAATTAAAAATTGGACATGTAAATTAAAAATTGTACATGCAAACTAAAAATATTACAAACATGAAACATGAATGGGCCGACAGCTGTAAGGCCAGGTCGCACGGCTCAGACCAGGACCTCATCACTTATTACTGCGGGCAGGACGTTTCATTTTCAATTTGCATCGATATGTTTTCTATTTTCAATTTGCAGCACAATTTTTAGTTTGCATGTACTATATTTAATTTGCAGGTAATATTTTTAGTTTGCATGTACAATTTTTAATTTGCATGTACTATTTTTAATTTGCAGTAACATTTTTAATTTGCATGTGTGACCCTTCTTCTGACCCTCAAACTAACCTTCCGGATCTTGGATTATTTCCAAAATTGATTTGTCCTGAAATATTAATTCAAAAGTAAAAAAAGTATATAATAGTCTTCGCTTTGTCATTTCAAGATCACAAAAAAATATTCCATGGAGGCGAGTGTGCATAATTATTGCATAATTTGTGCAATAATTATTCACATTCGTCACAAAAACCTACTCTGTTTGAGCACCAATCATGTTGTACACTATTTCTTAAATGTATTACGCTAAAAGGGTCCTCATTCATGTCCTTATTTTGCAACTAAAAAAGCTGTTACTGTCAACTTACCAGAGTGGCTTTGCTCATAATTTTCTCTTCCGTCTCGAAGTACACGTCAAGTTTTCCTGCCTTGGGGAATAGACAAGAAAAATGCCGTTGGATATACAATCTTTTATATAATATGCGCTAATAATACTGTGCTGATAGTGCACGAATCACTCGGCCAATGCTGTGCCAGCTGATGGGCACTAATGCTAGCATTACACATACAATCATACCCTACCTTAATGTGATCTAGCAGTGCTGTTGCTATAGTGGTGTGCATATCTATCAATCTTTTCTTCTCAAGCAGCTCTGGGAGTGAACTGTGTAACATAAACAAACAATGATTCAGAAGGTGCAACACAGGGAAATCTGTTTTATTATCACCAGCACCCTTCATGGGAAAAGTGCTCTGTGAAACGCTTCCGCAATTCTGCCTTGTAGCCACGGGTTTACGGTCAAGTCGTCCAAAAGTCATCTCGCCTGAAGGTATATCGCCCGAAACTAGAGTTATCTCGCCAGAAATGTTCTCATGCTCAGCAGCATCCTAACATCTTAATCGCGCTTGTTTAGTTTAATCAAATCTTTAAGAACAAGATATATTACCCATTTGACGTGCTTGTTTTGTTTTATCAAGACTAAAAGAACGAGATATGTTACACAGTCATCTCACTTGTTTGGTCTCTTCATCCCATGAAGAACGGGATATGATACGCATCCGCTTGTTTCGTCTCACTATTGCATCAGAGACGTAATTACACAGTTATTCCGCTTGTTTTGCCTCATTATCGCTTAAAAAACGCGATATATTACATACACTCTTCATTAAAATTTCGGGCAACTGGACTAAAAATTTCGGGCGACATGACTCTAGTTTCGGGCGAGATGACTTTCCATAGAAGCTGCCGCACAAGGGGTATTTAATTTTCAAAGCCTTCCCATGTTCCTTTCTGCATTGTCTACGACCACTTGCACCAAGACTACCATTGAAAATCCCAAGAAGTGCATTTTACATTTTTAGACGGCGGTTGGTAAATGTTTATGTCGGGCCCTGGACAAATCGCTGTGTAGTGGATAAGTATTAGAGAAACCAATTGTACTAACCAATGGATATAGATTTATCCAGTGGATAGCAGTGGCGGTCATCCAGACCCTGAGATAAGGGGAGGGGGGGCGGTCTCCAAAAAAAAGCCCCGGTCTAAAAATAAGGAGGGGCTGGGCCCGGGCCCCATCTGTGGATCCCCCACTGGATAGCGCTATCCACCTTTTGCAATGGTGTTTACCTGACAGCAGATGTTAATTTAGCTGTACTGTCAGTGAGAAGTTCACCCATGGATTCCTCATTACTCTCATCTATTCCCTGCAGCAAAAACAGAATGATGTTCTGTTGTTATTAAAATAAGTTTGAATAGAAATGCATTTCATTAATGAAACCATATGCTTTCAATATGCTTGATACAACTGACTTGCATGCATCAATGAAATCTTGCATTTGTGGTATATGATAATCGCATTTTCATTGTTGTTGTTTTTTTCATCTTCATACTTCAACAAACAATTGGTTTATATCAAACCAACTACTGGACCAGCTCCCAGTTGGCTTGTTAGCTAAACTGGTTGCGTGCTGCAATGGTACTGCAAACTTCAATGGTTTGAATCCCACACAGGCTAGTTTCTTTTAGCTGCTGCAAAGTTCGAGTCTTTAACTGCGACAATGTTGCTTGTGTTGCCTTCATTCAAGTCTCATAAAAGTTGACAGTAATAATAATTACACGAAATCAAAACTACCTCAACTGACTAGTATCCTACTCAAGAAAGAGAGAACTTTGAAAGCAAGACATACAGTCAAAACCCGCGAGTAAAAACCTGCATTTTCCTAAGTTAGCTTAAACAGGTTCTTACATAAACATTTATGGTAAAAATACTAAACATTACTACATTCCCTACCATAACATGTTTGAGTCTTTTAACTTCTTCTTCTGATGCTCTGTATTCATCAAGTTCTTTCTGTATTGACTCTGCCACTGTTGGAAAAGGACTGCAAAATAATAATTTATAATACTGCAAACTAATGAATGCCGTGAGATGTTTAGCTCCTCTAAATCCTAAAGTTATAAGACTAAATTTAGGTACTAGGAACTTGTGAAAGACTGGAATAAGAATGTGATTGAAGAATTTTAGCAGTCACAGAGTGCTACTTGGTTGAATCAATTTTCCAAATTGACTTATTGTTCCAGGTGCTTTACTAGATAGGGTCAATTCTGCATGTTATAAACTTGTCAGTGAATACCTTTTAAAAAAGTATACTGAGAAAATTGTCTTTAAATAAGTGACTCTTTTCAGAGTGATATAGAGGTGGTGTAAGTATGAGATTCTCAGAAACTTCCCACCTACCCCTCCCTTAATCAAATATTAACACTAACTTCTTCCCTCAGGCAAAATGTTGCGTAAGGGGAGGGCTAAGTGAGCAGTTTTAAAGAATCTTACACTGATCCCAGGTGTGCTGTTCATATGCTAATCATATGGTATGGATGGTAGCACATTAGTGCTTCAAGTGGGTTGCTTTGGGGAGCAAAAGTGGCCCACTGGTGAAAGCACTTGCCTCCCACCATATTACATGTATATGGGTTGAGTTTGTTGTTGGTTCTCTCTCCTGCTCCAAGAGGTTTTTCTTCAGATACTCCAGTTTTCCTCATTACTCAAAAACAAACACTTCCAAATTCCAGTTCGATGTGGAATGCACAGACATCCAATAATAATTATTTTAAACACGATTTTAAGAACTCCCAAGTGCGACCCAAAAGTAAAATTACCAAGATTTTGAATATGATTGAAACTTTTTTGACATACCTATGGAATGGTAAGCTTACCTTCCTTTATGTGATCCCCAGAACTTATCAGTAGTACTAAGATCATATGTTTTTACTTTGGTCTGCTTGGGATGCCTGTGGTGTGGATCTGTGTGCTCCTCGCTACTTGGAGTTGATTCTTTTACAACAACTCTGTTCAGGTGTAAATCCTACAAACAAAGAATGATTCTTATGTTTTGAAGACAAGCAGAAACATTTAAATATTGCAAAGAGAATGATCAAGCTACATGTACATGTAAGGTTACATGTAAATCACGACAGAATTAATAATAATCCCTCTCTTACCAGAACATCATGTACAAGAGCTTGGTAAGTCCATGTATGATGTAGTGGGGTACACAGGTCCATGTTTCGATCCAAAATGACCAACACTGGTCGCTGAAAACTAATAATAAATAGTTACTGGATGAGATTTTTGTGATATCCAGAATAAAATTAATGTGGTTGGGGTAAGTGTTATCAGTGGGGCCAGAAGTGGAGGCTGATAACACTTACCAAGACCTTGATAAATCCAGATCTCACAAAAACTGAATCTAATAATAATTGTTTTAAAACACATTGTTTTGAAGGAAGTAAAGACAAACACAGCACCACATGGAATGCAGTTTGACATTGCTCCTGCAAAACATGCATTGCATGCACAACCTACAGATTAGTCACTAATCTGCTAACAGTTAAGTAACTAATCTGTAGGTTGCGCTGATTTCCAAAATTAACAGTAGGCTCGTAGCCAATGAGATGACAGATAGTAAGTACAATGTATAATATTACCAAGTAAATAGGTAAAGAGGTTGCAACCTTGTCTATAAAAGCAGACCCAAGGCTAGTATACATGTATAAAGGCAAGCAAGAAAGGAAAAGTTTCATTATGAATCGCTTGTGTGTGCCTCTTGAAAATACAATGTACCTCAAACATGGCTATACACATTTTTTTGATATTGCATTGCTAAGAAAAATAAATTTGGCTACAGCTTTGGAGAGGTTATGCCAATGATTTTCAATCAAATATTCAACATTGCCTTTAATAGGAAGCTCTGGCGTCCTGCATTCTGCATAGAAAAAAAGTTGCAAGGTTGAAACAAAGCTGATGCAAAGAGGACATAAGTACATGTTCTTCTTAAAATTGACAGTCAGCTTGGATGTTAGCATATTAAGGCAACAATGGCAGCAACTAATCGGTCCATTTATAATGGTAACTGAACTGAGTGGAGTGCAATTTGGTCTGAAATCATACACAGGATTTTAAATTTGGACAAGAATGCAGCCCAAGTTCGATTTGAAATCAAAAGTAAGATTTCAGACCAAAATTGCATGACATGAAATCACAGAAGTCAGTCACTACCTATACTTAATTGATCTAGTATCATATCTGTTGAACTAGTAGCTGTTTTGTTGAAAACAAAACAGTTCAGCTGAGCTTGGGGACCAACTGCTACCCAACCTGCAGTTAGCTAATGGGGGTAACTGAACAGCAGTTATTAGTACCTGTACATTAATGGTTTTATCAAACATTTACAAACCTGAACTGCCCAGATGGCATATCTGTTGTGAATAAACTGTTTCTAGAATCTCTTAGATTTTCCCGCAACTTTTTATCTAAGGCCTGAAAGCAAAAAATGACACAAAAAATCCATCTTTCTCCTGATCGTAAAATCTGACTACAATTTAGTTCTTCCAATGTGGAGACAATGATGATTGGTTATTAAACTAAACTGAGCTTTTAGAACATAAAGAATCAGGAAAAATTTAAGAACAGTCATAATGATTGAGGCTGCATTGTTGTCCACCCTTTAGGATTTCCAAATATGAATGAGGAAGAGAATTAGACTTGCAAAGAAGAGTTTCAGTCATGCTTGACTATGTGTACATAATTATATTTATTCAAAAATGACTGATCTGAGGTGGAATGAAGCAAAACAATGACCCTAAATTAACATTCTTGAGGCGAACTATACCATGGTCTTTTGGAAAAATAATTATTGATATTTGCTGGTGTGCTATACAAAAGCAACAACCCAGGTCACTGTTTGGCATACATGCTTTGTTGGCCCTCAATAATTTATTGCTCTTCAAACATTTATCAATTTTACATCAGTGTTATTCTGACTGTTTAATTTTGGCTTATGTCACCCATCTAAGAAAAAGGTCTTCATGCCTAAGATGCTTACAAAATGTACAATGTACATAAAAATGAAGATATGATCGTGGTAATTCCAATTTCAGCAATTGCAAATAAACCCCCCCAAAAATTCAGAAAAATTGCAATTACAACTGCGACAATCATATCTTCATTTAAAATTTGTATTTCTGCAGTTCACATCATCTTCAAAATGTACATGTATTTGCTGGCATTCAGTTTTTAAAAATTCTCCATGGAGCATGGCCCCAGACCCCCTAGATGGGTGGATCTTTAACTTTGAACACTATCTACTAAAAACCTTAAAGAAACTCTAAACTGAACTCAGCTACATGGTCATCTGAGTTTTATGGTCATTGTAAATTGCACTTGTCTAAAAAGACAATTAACCATCCTAAGTTGATTGACTAAACCAGTCTTTGGATACTTATCTGGTATTGTTGCAGTTTTTGCAGTAGGCAAATGACATTAACACCAACCAGCCTGGCACTAAGATTGCTCAAAAACACTCTGTAACTTTTTATCATACTAGTTCTTAAGCCCCATTAAGTGTGACAATAGACTAAAATGGACCACACTTTGATTACCCCAATTTCTCTTGCAAATTATTATTTATTCATTTATTTAATGAAGTAGACAAAGGTGGGTGGAAATAAAACCTAACCTAATATAATGACTCTAACTGGTTGGTTATCATTTGTCATTGTCCCTACTGATGAAGAAAGTTTAATTTGAAGCCTCAAGAAAGCACCAATGATTCAGTTAAAAGTAAAATTGTAACTGAATAACTGGTGCCATCTCTTTAGGTCCACTCTGTTCCTTTTTTTTCACTATTATCACACTAATTTCTATCATAACTATATTCCATTAACAGGATCCCTAATGAAGCTACCTCAGCAACAGACCAAACTTTCTTTTGTCTCATCGACATGATAAACCTACTCAGAATGGTGCAAGTACATGATTGGCCAAGAGATTTAAATGTTTTGCTCTGTTATCCATCATTCCAGTTGGGTTTATCACTCTGGTAACTAAATAGAAAGTTTGGTTGATACATGTAAGTGTAAACAAAGACTTTTAGTTTTTCCAAAGTTTATCAGACTAAAAAACATTAGAATTCAGACCTATCTGGCAAAAAGTAGCTTGCATCGCAGACATTCCAAATCCCTGATATGGACAGTCCATAACAAGTTCTCTATTCAGGCCTCAAGTGACAAGTCTGGCTGCGATGCAGGCTAATTAAAAGACGTGAAAAAATATATTACCTCAGCTACCATTTCTGCAGCATTGCCTTTGGGGCATCTTATAATTGGCACTGTACCTGCAAAAACGTCGGCATTGCTCTGTTTATACAAGTTTCTTATCAGCAACGTCATTAAGCAATAAAAACACAGCACATTATTTAAATTATTTTAAAATGATAAAGACAAACCTAAAGACACTAATACACAGAAAAGACTGTCCACTATGACATCTCGCAGCATTTCAATGTCTGTATCCTTTGCATCAGGTCTATTAAGTGCTGAAAAATAACATAAACAAACAGACATCTTTAATTGCGTTCGAAGAGGAAAAATGTTCACTGCTCGAGTCATTAATTATTAATTAGAAATACTATTAAAAGGAAAAGCAAAAAAATATAAAACAGTAGCATGTAAAGAGGAAGTCTCATCCATAGGCCATGTGACTTTTTAAAGAAGAAAATGACAGAAATTGATGGATCAAGTTAATAACCTTACCATAATAGGATATTGAGTCTCTGTCTTGATTTCTCACTGTAAACATTTCATCTTCCAAAGAAATATAATTTAAATATTGATCAAACACCTACAGGAGACATAATAAATTTATTATTAGTTTTAAGATGATTACTTCTAACACTTATACATGTAGCATTAAATACAACTAATATCACGGCTGTGCTCTAGCAGAGCCTGGTGGCCCTTGGTGCCTAACTTTTGCCCTCGGGCAACAAGAAAATCTCAGATTTTTCATACAAATCATGTGCTGGGCACCCTAGATTTTATAGTTTTGGAACACTGGGCTCTCTTCAATTTTCCTCAGAGCACAGCTTTGCTTATTAACCAAGAGAGAGGTCAATGCATCAAGGCAAAGGTCTTAGATTTCCCTGTAATGACCAAACAGACGAGGTTAATAAGTTATATTGTATGGCCTTTTAGCACTATTCACTGAACTGAAATGAAACCTGGCAATTGAAACCACAAGACAGTTTCTTTGACAATGAGAAATATTGGACCTGAGCCTGTGATCAATTACAACCAAAAATTGGTCAGTGGATAACTTTAAAAAACACATCACCTCAGTGAGTTGTACACTTCGGTCCATGATACAGTCATGTGACACTGGTCAGCAGACCCTTTTTAGACAGCCTTTTAGATAGCATGAATGTCCACTATCAAGTTAAACACAGATTGTATATGCTTTGGGTAACTACATGTAGCTAGCAATACCTGGTCATTACAAGAAAATCTTTCTCGCTTAGCAGTTAATCAGAGTACACATACTATTGTCGTCACAAAATAAAATCACTTAACAGCCTTCAGAAAGCTTTGTAAATCAACTGTGTTACCTTAGTTATTTGAGTGACACTGTTAGATTGAAGAGCTGCTGTTGCAAGGTCTTCCAATCGATGTCTTGAAATTGCAGAAATGAAATTGAGGTAATATGACTCATACAGTTGGTTTTTACAATCCTGTTTAAAAATATAGATAAAAAATAAATTAACAATAAATGAATTACAATTTCTGACATCTAAAATACAGTATTGGTAGGTGGTAGTACGCTGCTTTGATCGTCACTTTGACTAATGGCGTTCCTAGCCTAAAGTGGTGTGTACCTCACATTGTTGGAGGGGAGAGTGGGGTATCTTTGACAAGGAATTGAAAGTCAAACACAGTCTTTATCTCAGGCATGGATCCCAAAATTAACGGGAAAAAACCCCAACCTGACAAATCCGTTTTACATTTTCTTCAGTTGGGAGAACAAAATAAATGGCCGGTACTTCAGGAATAGCATCTCTATCAGAATGCAGTAGTCTGTAAAATAAAAAAACAAGAGAATTAAGAAATCAGTACAGTGATCTTTCTTCTGAAGGATGGTTCTCACATAATTAAATTTCCAGCTCATCTCAATTGACCAAGCCATCTAAAAATGGCTTCAGACCATCCTATATAGACACTTCAGAAGGGGTGCAGGTTAATCCTTAGCCCTGTGTGATATTGCAAATCCTTAGGTAGAACTGCAGTACAGACACAATGAACCCTGTGTTAATGGGACGCCCAAAGGACTATGGCTAGTTTTTGCTTTATGTGTATAATAAGATGCCTGCTAAAATTACTAAGGTGGCCTGAACCTGTTTATATGCGTGTTGGTTATGTTTTTGATTTGCATTTTCAGAGTTCTATTATTGTTTGTTAAGGATGCCAAAAATCATAGAAATCGGTTGAATATTTCATTCTGAAAAACGCAAATCAAAAATGTAACCAACACGCATATAAATAGGTTCGGGCTACCTTAAGGTTTGTTTACAGAAAATATGGGAAGAAACATTTGGTGCTCATGCAGGTTTCAGGGTTTGAGGCAAACAAGATTATTTGGATGATTGTTTAGAGAACACCCTTAGCATATAGCTCTAGTAATCAGCAGATCTGTCTCATAATAGTGTTAGCTGGTGATGTCACATCATGCATGCCATCCTGTTTTGGAATGTCCACTGTAAGATCAAAGACATTGCCACTATTACAATTTTGTTTTTAGTCACAAAGCCGCAAAAACCTTAGATGTAGTAATGGTATACAGTTTGAACCTCCACCTTCAAGGTACCGGCAAGTGGCCACTAAAGAGGTTTGTCATAAATTAGCATAATTATGTTGAAACACTTGAGCGATGGGAGCAGCATTACCTGTCCACAATCAGTCATCACCTTCTTTCTCAGACTGAATTTCCATTTATCACATTCTTAATTAAAATGAAGCCAAACTAAGAGTATCAAGCGCTTGATGGCCACTTAATAAAGGTGACAACAATAGTAGAACTCTTGTTGGAATGGCCAAAGGGTGGCCGCAACCGCTTACTTGCGGTACAATTTCCCACTCTTTTCCACAATAATGTTATTTTGGGACTTTGATTACTGGCCGCTTAATAGAGGGTGGCCTCTTAATAGGTTGCCTGCTTAATGGAGGTTCAAATATAATATTCAATTCATTTCTACCAAAAGGGGGGCTAAATAGACACTCAACATACAGATGTAGTGTAATTCCCATTTCTCGAAGTTCCTTGACATTAAGCAAAGGAGAGATGATATCCTGGCCATATCTGTCATACACAAGGACCTAATCAATGATAGAAGAACATAGCCAACAAATTAGGATTAACAATGGAACCATGTTAATGTGACCATTGCTGGGGCATTAAATCCTGGTCATAATAATGAGGTGGACACATCAACTGGGTCTTCAAAATAAAATGACTAAGTGATTTTTAGGTTTGTGTTGAAAGAAAAATTATGGTCACAATAATGAGGTGGTCATATAAACGGAGAGGTTGTAAGGCAGAGTTCCACTGTATTTATTTATTTATCAATTCAGTAAGTACTTTTCATTAATTTTTATTAACTGCATCCCTGCCCCTACAGAAAGGCAGCGCTGTCAACTCTCCTGGATAATGCGGGAGACTCCAGATTTTGGATCGTATTTCCCAGTCTCCAGATTAGAGTCTGAAATCTCCCGGATAATCGCCGAAGTTTGCCATTTCTTGTAGACTAGACTTTCTGGCATAAAATTTCAATTATTTTGTGTTGTTTGAGCTATTTTACTGTTACCATCGATCATAAACTCTGGTATGCCATTGTGGGAAGCACACCAATCAGGTCATATGTTACAATGCCAACAACATATTTTTTGCACAGTTTGTGTCATCGTAAATGTGTGACGATTGGAGTCAACAAGTATTTTTTGCATAAATTAATGACATTATATGCCGTGCATTATGACTTTATATGTCATCCCTTCCCCATCAATTCTCAATATTTGACAATGTGGGGGGTTGACAGCCCCGGAAAGGGGAACTCCAAGAGGTTCTTTTCTAAAAGCCTAGCAGCCTGTTTCCAAAAGAGGTACTGGAGCTATTTTCATTTTTTGATTGATGAAAGTCTATTTCAAAGAGTTTTGATTTCGAAGGACACGCAGTGGTGAAAATAACAAATAATGCTAATAGGACTAAGTGGAGTCCAATTCGGTCAGTAATCATACCAGTGAAAAACAAAACCGGGGGAGTCCAGTTTGTTTAATCCCAAGAGCATGATTACGGACCTAACTGGACAACATGAAGTTATGTTATCAATTAATCATAACCAGGACAAAATTTGTGATAAAAGAAATTCCAAGACTTTTTTGCTAGCAGTGAAATTAAAAAGCCATACCTGTCCTATTACACTGTCCTATTAGTGCTAAAATCAGGAGAGTTGATTTCAGAATTTTGTCATGGTTATGACTAATAGTATAATACTGTTTAATATTTTTTATCTGCTAGAATCATTCCCTAACCTTACCTTCCATACTGGCTCGATAGCAGTTGACTTCGTGAGTGGTTGATTAAGATTAAGCATGCGCTTTAAAGAATCTGAAACATAAAATGAAACTTTCTTGTTAAACAAAATTTAATAAGGTATCAAAGAGCTCAACTTAACTCGTGTTGTTTCACTTTCAATGACGACAATCATCTGTTTTACTTTTAAATGAATTGGACGATCACAATCATGATTAAAGACTTTCAATACTGAGCACCTTTTCCGATTGCTAATTGATTTAAAAATGAAATCAAATAAAATAAAGATCTAAATTTAGGGAGAATTTACCTATTTGCCTGGCTCGAATGCTGGCCGCCATCTTGGATTTGCCAGGGTACACGCATGCGTGTAGATGTGTCTGTTGAATGTCTACGTGTATGCTCTCTCCAGTCTTCCGATTTGGTTGCTCGGGTATATCTCGGAGTACTCATTCCTCCCAGTACGCGGGGTTACGGAGAGCTTGCTCACAGGCTATACTCAGGGGAAAATATGATGCCTACAAAAGCAATTTTTCAAACTAGCATCATGGAATTAGATTTTTTTAGAAAACATTTTTGGTACAATCAGGTGCGGCTCCTAGTGAGCACTCCTTCAAAGGCTTCCCTGTTAAAGACTCAAGACCCTGAAAACCTAAACCCTGTTCAGCGGCACATACCCATTTGAAACAAATAAGGAAGTGAGATCTCAGAGGTTAAATGCATAAAGTCTTTGCAGAATTAACACAATTGTCCATCTAATTTTTCAAAATGTCTAAGTTTATTGCTCAACAACATAAACAAAAGGTCTAAGCGGTGAGCTAATCCTTCGAGCAGTTATTTTACTGCAAAAAGTCGCTGGGTGCCCCCGGCTAATTGGAGGAAACGTTCTTTCAAATCCTGGGGGGGGGGGGTACTCCCTAGCAACGATGGCCTATACCGGGAGGCTCTTCCCGAAAGGGATACATTTTTTTAGGCTTCAGGCATATAAAAGGGTAGGAATTTCGTTAGTTTAAGTATATGAAAGGACAGAGATATCTGTCATTTCGGTCTGTAAAAAGGCCCAGAAGGGCTAACAGGATTTTATAGCAGTTAAAAGGGATGCAAAGTTGTAAACTAGGTACGTGACAAGGGAACAATTTAGGTTTATGAAATTAAAGGGGTACCTTTTCTGTATAAAATGGTACTGATATATAACTTATATAAGGGTAAGGGCTGGACCTCGGGGCGTATCCTCCCAGTATAAAACTTTAGGTTGTTGAGTACCCCTCAGGTTTTAAATGCCGATGTAGAGCGTGACATACCCTGGGTACCCGGGCCTTCCTTGGGGGCTAGGAGAGATTTGAGATTTGAGGGGAGGAGGGAATAGAGATACAGTTATATACTTTCTGTCCCTTCGCTTTCTCTCCTTTTCACAGTCTCTTCGCCCTTTCCCCCAGGAACGCCTGATACTAAAGCTAAAGGTGACAGAGACGCAGAGAGACAGAATCCGGTCGGAATGGCCTCCTCCTGCCCCGTGGCTTCTCGCGATATCAAAACTACTCGTAACGGCGTAGATCCAGTCTTAAATTACAACAAAGTGATGCTAAGAGTATAAGATTGCAGGAAATTTGAGTCTGAATGAATAAAACTTGACGGCTAACTACAAAATCCGATTGTGTGTAATTAAATCCCCCGTCACTCGACAGACTTGCACCCGGACACTTGAATGTCCCCGGGAAATGTCCCTCCCCCCGGGGTTTACGGGATCGCAAATCCCTAAAAAAAGCATTTTTCAACAGTATTGAACATTCTTTAAAGTTGAACTGCATAACTTAAGGAAAAGCAGAGACGTTTGCGTAAACTTTCCTTGTGATAAAAATTCTAGCTTGCCTGTTTGATCAGCCCACATACACGCATGCGTAGTAAGCGGGCCACGGGGAGCGAGCTAGTCGTCAATATGCGTGTTTTGTAAATCGCGATGGCCTCTGGTAGAGGGGCTGCAAATCAAGAAATCAAGCATCATTTCGCGACTAAAGAGGGCTGCTACAGGCTGTTAGATCTTTCGGTTTATTCTCGACCCAACAAGGTCCCCTACTCTGTTCAACAATGCCACCCGGTCCGTGTATCGTTTGTGACATTGAAGGATCAAGGTGGATGTAACGATCGCATTGCGTTCAATGTAGGAAGAGAATTGTATTTTTACATCTACAAAGGAGTGCGGAAGGTGGGTTGATAATCATCAAAAGCGCGAGAAATAACCGTGAAATAGGTGTAGTGTAAAACTATGCTGTTTTGTGTGAGTTATTTTTGTCAAATTGTGCATGTTTTCCTACCATTTGCAGGTTTCTCTGGAATTCACTGTCGCCTTCAACACAGTGTTTTATCATTAACACTAAACTTAAGCTTAATTTTAACCAGCGAAACTGAAAATTTTGGGAAAATGTCACAGTATTTCAAAATTGTAATGCGTGTGTTGTATGTGTACCTTATTGAATCTTCGTTCGAAGAAGTGAAGTAAACTTAGTTTGTGAATAGTCCGACAAACGCTACCTATCATTGTGATTTCCCTGTCGTTTACAAACATAACATGTCTGCTAGATACGACAACTGTACTGGTAAACGGGAACCGTAAAAAAAACACATAAACAAGAAAAGTTCCAAGTCTACGACGTAGGCATTTCTTTTGCACTGTCAGCTCCATTTTTACTCGTGAGTAACCTAAAAGGCTAAATTACCCATCTGAAGACAAAACAAAAATTCAAAGTTAGCTGAAATTATAATATTGTTTCTCGAAAAGTTATCCGGCAGTATGCAGATCATCCGTTTTCGCTTGCACATTATTCATCAAGATATAAGTTCACAAAAATATTCATACAAATATACCTGTTACCTGAATTTTTTGGAAACAAAATATGTGCTTTAAATTTACCCTATTTCTTTTTATGTGATTGTGAACAATAAACTTAACATTAGCAGCCACATAATAAAATAATTCCAAAAGGAACAGTTATTTAATCGCCTGGAATAAGAAAAGATCACACCTGTAAATTATGTTTTGGGGTTCATTTGTGGACAAATTTACTGATCCCTTGTTTCATAAACACAGATTAATTCACATCAGTTTTTGAAGTAGAATGTGATCTTGACTGTCTTTGCCACTTGAATGAAACATTTGTTTAGCTAATCAATTTGTTTTAAAAATCTCAAGTTTTTTAATTCATAGCTATTTATGTGTACCTTAGATGTATTGCTGTGTATTATTGCTAATTATTTTTTAGCATCTCTGTGGGTACCTGCAAATGGCATTTGCTTTACACATTTTCCATATCATCAGTTTTTCAATAAAATAGATGCATATCAACAGGGTTTTGCAAGTTAAAGCTACTAGCGAGCTTGCACACCACGATGTTCATCCCAGAAATAAGAACATAAAAGAAGGAGCAAGGCAAAAACTCTGAATGTGCAGCACACTAAATTCTTCATCACACTACTAAAAAGTTGTCAAACTTGATTGGAGTGGCAATGGTTTTGTCGCTTTAATCTCTAAAAGCTCTGTTTCATCAAAAGCAATTGTCACGACTTGGATTTGTTGGAAATTTCAATAGAGAGCAGGGGTTTCAAAATGTTTTGAAGTAGGCTACTGTCTCTGGAAAAGTAGGCAGCTGTGACAATCGATATTGTTTGTCATGAGCTGATTGTTATGACCAGACTAGCTGGCGGTATACAATCAAGCAGTTGGCGGAACTCCGGCGGTCGCCGGCTTGCTTTGAAACCCCTGACAGAGGCTCATTTTTAAAAGTCATGCTGTATTTAGAAAGGGATGTAAGGGAAGTCAAAATACAAGCAACAAGTAAAAAGTACTCATACAACACACCAAAACAATTATGAGCTATTTATTATCCAACTGTTATGCACTAAAATTTAGTAGGAAAACTATACAAAGTGTAGAATGTGCGTCAGATTTTTCGGTGACACGCATGTGGAAAGACTGGCCTAAGAAAATGTCAGCTTGTCAACAACTGCCACTGTGTAGTTTTGCATAGTCCTCAAGTTAACACTTTAAAGCGAAGCTCTGGTTGATAATACTTACATGTACAAACAAAAAATATTAAATCGTGTAATGCTAAACGGGGACGGCAATGAAAATGGCATCAAGATCAATAGATCTACTTTGTAATTAGCAAAAAACAAATTTGCACGGGCAGCACGCTTTTTTGCCATTGTTTTGCACAACTGCAATGCCGTTTTGTACGACTAAAACGTCAATGTTCCTAGCGACACATTATTTTTAAGGAGGAATTGTTTTTTGTGCATACCAAAGATTTTGTTTCTTGTGTTCATGTTCGTTTTTTTTTTCACTGCTGCTCATTTTCACCTTGCTGGCTACTAGTATTTCTCATTTTCTCACCACCCCTATGAAATTTTCATGTCTTTCTTCCAACGAAATTCGTCTCCTTTGTTTCCAATGACTCGCTCTAGCTCTTTCTCTGTTCTCCACGTGAACGTAAACATCAAAAATAACATTGTAAAAGACACAACTTTTATTCATTGCCAACCTCACTTTACAGACTCTGTTTATCTGAGCACTGTCTATGACTGAATATCTT